AAGGCTCATCCCACCATCTGGATGGGTGTTTATTTACCGAACTTAGCAGTAAGGGATAGAAGATCTGGGCGAGTAAAGAATTATGTTATAACTGGAAAGCAAGTAAGTACCAGTAGTTTGTTTTTGTCTATGACACGAACGAACTTATTCTTTTGTGTTGCACAGAATTGTGCATATTACATGCTCAATGAATGTTAGAATAAGAATGGTGTTTCTTGAATAATGTATGATACTATGAATGATTCAAGATGTATGATGTTATGAATGTTTTAAGATGTACGGTGCTATGAATGTACTTATGGACCGTAAATAGTAGTAGAATTTTACTCTACGAAAAGTATGAGGTTAAGTCAAAGACAATTTCATAGAAAATTGATGAAAATGCGTTAAAACGCAAAATAAAATTAAAATTACTGTCATGCTGAGAAAAGATGACAGTAAAATGACGTATAAAGAAATCATGATAAATTGCTCAAAATGCACAAAGTCATAAGATTTAACTAAAGTTACCGTTTCAATGAGAAAATTGATAAACGGTAAGAGACTAAACATCCTATTTGTACCAGCCTTCGAAGGAAAGGTTATTATGAGACTATGAAAGAAATGAAACTGTGACTGAGTTGGATTGGTTAGCTACCCCACTCCTCACTGGTTATGCGCGCTATGGTACAACAGGACAGGGCCATAAGAAGTAAAAGACAAGAAAACAAAAGAACAGAATTCATTCCATATAACGGAAACGGTATGGTATCCGTAAACAAGAATGAAAAGAATGAGAAACACAATATGAAAGTCGTTTAGAACGTGAAAATACAATGTGAACGACTAAAAAGAGACAAAAACTGAACAAAGTACGTAATGAAAGAAGAAGAACATAAGCGATATATGTTCTAGAAGTACGGAATGTCTTAGGATATATGACATGAATGCATATATGGGTATGCATTATTGTATGCTTTTACTATGGCCTACTGTTACTTGCTGAGCGAAAGCTCATTACGTTTGTTCGTGTTGTAGGAAGCTCGGGTAAGACACCGGCTCTCTGAAACCCGTATGTTGGGCGTGTAGAAAATGATGAAGCAGTGAGATGTGGGCAAGTGGGTAATGGGATCTACACGCAATTGGTAAACGCTGCAAAGTGTTTTTAAGTATACCATATTTATAGATATGGTTAGGTTATGTAATGCAAGTAAAGATCATGGAATTATGAGGTTATTCAAAGCGACCTGTAGTCTACGATTAATGTAACAAAATCCTAGCTAAATGCTACGGCATTTAGACTTATGAATGGAAAAAAAAAAATTAGCCTGAATTCTTAAGAGGCTATAATTAGAAAGTAGTAGAGGTTAAGTAATGCTAAGTATGAACGTAGGATGATGATCAAAAGTTAGGGTCGTCACAAGGGTAATTATGAAAAAAAATAACTTAGAATGGTCATTCCTCCCATATGAGGAAGGAATGATGATTCACCCAAAATGGGTGAATGACCATTCCTTTTAAATGATCATTCATTTCTTATAAATCCAACCAAACATCAAACTAGAATTCAATTTCATTCTATTCCATTGCTTTCCACCCAACCAAATACACCCTAAAAGTTACGATACCCCAGCAATTGGTTTGAAACATTTCCATATTCTCCTTTAACCATTCAACATTTCAAACCCCAGTTGATATACTTGCACGTAGCTACTATTATATCAATCTTTATAGCTTAGCCTCTAGCTCAACCCAGCCATCACTGCCTTGCAAAACATTAAGGATTAATTACAAAAACTCTCTCCGAACTATATCTTTTGTAACACTTTATCCTCAGATCTTTGAACGTAACATCCGTTCTCCCTGAACAATGAATTATTAATAAAAACACCCCATTCGTTAGGTTTTTTTTTAATGAAAATTGACATTTAATTTGTTATCTTGGTGATACTTTGGTAGCTCTATGGTTTAAATTTTAATTTAAAATTAAAAAAATATATTTAAACTTTTAATTATGATACACCCATTATTGGTTGAATATAAGTAAAAAAATTTATGAATCTTTTTTTGGCAGAATAAAAAAATTTATGAAGTTTTTTTTTAATATTTAAATTAGTTTAAATTCAAATTAAATTTTAAACCATAGTATTACCAAAATACTCTCAAAATGGCAAATTAAATGTTAATTTCAGTTAAAAACCTAATGGATGAGGCCTTTTTGTTAACATTTCATTGTTTAAGGAGAACAAATGTTACATTTTAAAAATTAAGGGGCAAAGTGTTATAAGGAGTATAATTTAAATTTTTTTTTTGTAATTAATCCAAACATTAATATGAGGGGAGAAAAAAACTCAACAGTAAATTTGATAAATAGGAGGTAGTTTGTCACCCCTAACTCAAAAATGGTTTGAGACTATCATGTATTCTTCTTATCTAATACGTGATCGAATTTACATTCTTTGGGCATAAATTTATACGGTTTTATTTTTAAATTTCACCTCAAAAAGCTAGGACTTATACCATTAGAAGGTAGCGTTATTTTTTTTATAAATCATCACGTATAACCTTTCTCTGTCGATATTGCACAACTTGCCCTATTTTAATCATTTTGTCTCAAGAGTTGATGACTGTCATAGGTTATTGGCAACCTTTCTCTGTCGATATTGCACAACTTATCCTATTTTAATCATTTTGTCTCAAGAGTTGATGACTGTCATAGGTAGGTTATTGGCAATATTGTTATATATTAATTCAACATCTTGTGAAATACGTATAACATATCTAACTTTTAAAAAAATATTTTTTAGGAAAACAAAAAAAGCAAACTCTACAAAGCAAATGCAACTTATAGAATGAGTACATATATGTTGTCCCCATATAAACCAAAATTCAACTACATTACTATTTAAATTCATTATTTTTAAAGTCGATTAAATTATTACATTACATGTAAGAAGAAAGAAATATACAATTAGATAAATAAAATGGTAAAGAGATAGACAGAGAGTTTTTTTTTATAAAAAAAATTGTACATTTTAGCTTAATCTACGGCTGCTCTGAAAAAAAAAAAAAAAAATCTAACTCCGCCAATACTAATGGTTAAATTCTTAAAGAATAATGCTATGAATAGCAACTCTTAGACTTAGATGATATGAGTTGTTGAAATAAAAAACTCGGGACAACAAATCTAGACTCGGTTGTCACAATTATATGACAAATTCATATGATTATGTGGAGTTCTATAATGTCGAGTGCGTACGTGTATGGAATACTTGGAGTTCTTGGCAGCCTTCCTTCGGGGCTATCGTATACATATCTAAGTAACCAACTTGTAATTAATTGTTATTCTCACTTAATTTTGTTCTCTTATGTTCGAGGCTCGAACGTGAATAAAATAATCACCCAAGTCTAGGAGTTGTGAGGGAAAATGCTGAGGAGAGTATCGTGAGAAACCAATAAATAAATAAATAACTAGGAAAACTGAAAAGCAGTCAAAATAAGATGAAACTTGATGTAACTAAATTTGACTTCAATTTCGCTTGATCAAATTAATTATTACAAAGGGATAAAAGGACTATTAATCTAATAAAGAGTCACTAGTAACCTTTGACTTTCCTTCAAACATTTGATTCCTTGTCATGAAATTCTACCCTCCCATCGTTTGTGTATAATATATAGACCTAAGTAACAAATTTATAGCTATGTATCACATGGGAACAATATTAATATAGCGTTGGAGAAGTATATATAGGGCCTCCAGTAATAAAGTTTTGATATCTATCTACATGAAGCCCAACTTCCTTAAAGTCCTCTTCTAGAAGAAAAGGACTTGGAATTTATCATCCTAGATATTAATATCTCTTTATTCTGAAAATCTCATTGGGATAACTAGATAGTTATAATTTGAAAAAATAATCTTAAAAAAATGTTATTCGAGTATTTTTGCGCCTTTTCATGTAGAAAAGGTCTTTTTATAATTTTTTGGTTAAAAACATAATTGAAGATAAAATTATAAAAACTATAATAAAAGATTAGAAAACTAATAAAGAAAGAAAGAATGTCAATGAGAGCCACTCTGGTGTCAAAAAGATGACCAAAGGATGTCGACACAATATATATATATATATATATATATATA